TCAATTCTTTTAGCTAGAAGCATCTACCGGAAAAAACAATGTCGCTAGCGACAATAATCTGCGGGGGACTGTGCAAAAAACACAACTTCACATCGGCTATCAGTATGCTGACCAATTATTTAGACTATGGTCGGGTGAGAGTTCGTATTGAGCAGAACTGGCTCACTGTTGATTGCGGTTGTGCTGATACTGATGGAGATCCCTGAATAAGGCCCGACTGATGTATCTGCGAAGGAGGCCCCGTTTCATGACGTCGCATAACTTTGATATCATTTCTTTCCATTTTGCGCCACTTCGCTCTACGATTCTGGAACCACACCTGCAGCATGCAGAAGATTAACGAAAAAACGTTGAGTTTTTCCGAAATAGACTAGAGCTGTAGGACTTTTTCTTCTTTTAGCGAAACCGAAATCTCTCCACCTTGCTGGGAGTTTTTCAGCTTGCAATTTTCTACCTCTTAGCGGAAATGAAGAAACAAAAAACGAAACCTCTGATACACTGATTTCCCAGCTGATGTGGGGTGAGATGGGGACAAAAGCTCCGGATGTGGCTATTGAAAGAATTCTCTGGAAAATCAAAAAGCTCTGTGAATGATTCGATTTCTTTCGCATCGTTAAATCAATTTGTTGAATGTCTGAAAAGCTTTACCTGTACCCTAGCTTCTGGTAAATTAATTTTCACAGCAAGTTCCTCGCGAGCGAACACATCTGGATAGTGTGACTTTTGAAAAGCTGCTTCCAGTTCATCTAGCTAAAATGAGAACTTGCAAAAAATCGGTTTCGATCGGCTATTGGTTACAATCTGAAGCAATCTTGCCTAGAACCAATATGTCTAATATTGATTTTAGCACAGTGAGAGAAGCTCAAAATGGATACTGTTTTGTGACGCACACTGATTAAAATACAGAACAACATGACAGTGAAGGGCACTAGAATCAATCTTGAATCAGCGTTGATCGGCCTGTGTACGGCATGTGACTTCCTAAATACTGAAAGATTTATTATCAGGAAATAACATGTTCGTATCAGAATGGCATAAATTTACTCGTCTTTTTTCTTGCAAAAATCACACGATCTTAAGAAAAAATCGGTCTTTCGGAACGTCCCCTTCTGAATCACGCTGCATGCCTGCTATTCGCAACTGACGAAACGATGTAAAGCGAAAATGAGCGATGTGTGGAAGCCTGGTAGTTTCGTTTTCATTTTAAAAAACATTCTTTCTGCAAGTACCATCAGTCGAATCTTCATGCGTCTTCCACTGCGTTGAAAAGCTAATACTGTGAAAAAAAAACTATAGCGAAGTAACCAAGTAGCTCTCTCTCCATTGCCTTTTCTTCCTTTTTTAACGACCTTTTTTCGTCTTTCCACCCTCGTCATCCTCTTCTGCTTTAACTACTTCATATGCTGATTCTGATCTTGCGTTTTATAGGCCTTAGGGAAAATTCAAAATTTACTGTGCTTTTGGACTTCTTTTCCCTTTGAAACGGTGGATTCGATAAAATCTCAAAAATTTTCTCCGATTTAGATAAACTATGTAAACTTCTTTAAAACGATGAATTTCCCACACGACTTCACAGACAGCTAGTAAACCTACTATACGATTTCATGATGACCGTTATTCCAGTATGATGGTACACTTTCATTGACCTGTCAAGTTTCTTTAATGGAGAATATTTTCGATTCAAAGAATAAAATCCGTTTGAACACGCAATTATTGGCAGTG